TGGTGCGTGTGTGTGTGTGTGTGTGGAGAGAGGGAAGGAGAGAGGTGGGAAGCGGAGCAATAAGCTTCCCATCTCCGTGGTTTCTCCTCAGCAACGGACGATGCTGTGTTAAGTATCTTTTCTCTCTTTCCTTCTCGTCTTCTTCTACACCCCAAGTGCTATCCGATGTGATTCGTTTTCCTCTTTTCTTTTCTCTATAATACCGTAGCATTTTTTTCATGCCTGTTGGGGTGTCTCTCTTCACTGTTTTGTTCTTGCGATTGCGACGGCGCTGACAATCACAGATATTCCGTCTCCGAAAAAAAGAAAAGCATGAAAAACTCTCTCTGTATTGACACATTGCCATTGTATATGAGCGCCTGGTGATGTCGCAAAAGCTTATGATCGAGCTGGCTAGCCAGAAGCAGACAGACGGAAAAATCTGATGTTCCCTTTACTCGTACAGCACAGATTGCAGATCGTTGAAGAGAGGGAAAAGGGCAATCGCACCAACAAAAAGGGGGTCGTTGATGTGGAGCAACCTTTTGTTTTTCTGGCTCGATACGTCGCTGCTTATCTTTCGATGCCTTTCTTTTCTCGAGGTCTTCAGCAGGACAGGAAAAAACTAGAACCTGCCAGCTCCCACAGAAGTGTGCAGAGTACGGACGTAGCTTTCACGTTCTTCAACTTCCGTTGTCTTTTTCTTTCAGTACTTTCCCTTTTCTCTCATCTGTCATCTCGCTCCCTCTTTCTTTAACTCCCTTTTTTTCCTACCGCAACAAGTGCACATCATTTTTTTTTGTTTTGGAGCAATTCCCTGTGCGTTTCGCAGTGCCTCCTCTTTCGCTGGCAGCTTCCTTCTTTTCTTTTTGTTTTTTACTGTTGCATTAGTGGGGGTTTCACTGCCTGAACCACCGTCTTCACCGTTTTCTCTCTTTTTTTTTTTTTAAACTGCTCGGCGTTAAAGCATACAAGACCTTTTCGCTCTCTCATACCTGAATCTGAAGTCCATCTTCTCTTTTATCATCACCGCCCACGGAGCTGTTGGCGCCTTCATCTTTCTCTTCTGTTGTGTGTACTCGTGCGTTTGCTGTGTATCCGTGTTGGTTTTTCTTACTACAACTACACCTCTCCGAGTACAAGACCGAGACGTTCACGGGGAGGTGCGACGCGTATACCCCCTTCTCTTTTCCAGTTTTTTCCCCCTTTTGATTTGCTTTCTTCTTCACACACACACACACACACTCACACACCAAAATAAAACATTATTATTATTATTATTATTATCTTCGTTTACAGATCTGATTTATCTTTGATTTTCCCCTCTGGTGTGGTTTAGCTGCGTCTTCGTACGACTCAGCACGTCGCCATTTCTTTATCATCTCGTATTTTCTTATCTTCTTCTTTTGGCTTTGCGTGCATCTTCTGCGCCAAAGAAAGAATAGTATCACTCATCCATCACCGGCGACTCAGCACGCGACCGCTTTCAATATCAACATATATTAGCCAATTTTCCATCTTCTTTTCTTTGGTGTTACAAGTATATAAATATATATATTCGAATTCGTTTTTTTCTATGAAATATAAGAAAAAGAAATAGATAATCTCCAAGAGCTCCACTCTCCGCTGCTGCTTTGCTGCGAATCGGCTCTTTGATAGACTGCAGCAACGGATTAGGCACTTTTGAGTTCTCCGCTATCCCGTCAGGCAGACACACTATTAGTATTAGTTCATAAACTTCTCGACCACTCCCGCACGTTCACGGTAAAAGAAAAAAAAAACAGAAAAACGGAAGCCGGGAATGATGCGTGCTGTGGTGCTGAAGGGCTTCGGCGGGGTCGATATGATGTCCGTCGCCGAGGTTCCCATGGCCGCCGTCAAGCGGAGCACCGACGTGCTGATTAAAGTAATGGCCGCTGGCGTGAATCGTGCCGATCTCTCGCAACGCCGCGGCCACTACCCCCCTCCCCCGGGGGCCACCGATGTCATGGGTCTTGAAGTGGCGGGTGTGGTGGCGCAGGTTGGGTCTGGGGTAGACAGTAGCATCAAGGAGGGCGACAACGTGATGGCCTTGCTGCCGGGCGGCGGATACGCCGAGTACGCAGTGGCACAAATGGGCTGTGTGATGCCGATGCCGCAAGGGTACTCCTTCACGGACGCCGCCGCCGTGCCGGAGACGTTCATTACGGCGTGGCAGATCTTAAACCGTCACGGCAAGGTAAAGCCGCGGCAGCGGGTGCTGATTCACGCCGGGGCGAGCGGGATTGGCAGCGCGTGTGCGCAGATCACGGAAAAGTATTTTAAGGCCACCGCCATCACCACGTCCTCCGAGGCGAAGCTAGACGTGTGTAAAGGGTATGCGAGTGTGACCTTGAGCCGCACGAAGGACGAAGCCGGGTGGGCCTTCGCCCCGAAGGTGAAGAAGCTCTTCGGCGAGGAGAGCATCCACGTGATTGTCGACCCGGTGTTTGGTGGGACCTATTTGAGTGAAAACTCGCAGCTGCTGGCGCCGAACGGGCACCTGGTCGTGGTCGCCTTCATGGGCGGATCGCTCGTGCAGATGAACGCGCTGCCTTTCTTCCGCGAGAACGCGCAAATCACGTTTACAAAGCTGCGCTGCCGTAGTGATCAGTACAAGACAACGCTGGTGGAGTCGTTTGAGCAGGAGATTGTGCCGTACTTGAACGCGCGTGTTATTTCGCCGGTCATCAACCGCACGTTCACACTCGAGGAGGTCGGGGCTGCCCACACGTACATTGAGGAGAACCGCGGTTACGGTAAGGTGGTGCTGGTGCTGGCCGATGCCCCTCAGCGTCCGATTCTGTAACTGGAGGAAGTCGTCGAAGGAGGAGGAGGATGAGGAGGAGGAGGGACAGGGGGGAGGGGGGAGAAATAGAACGCGGTCCGATCGTACTCTTCTCTCCTCCTTTCATACACGACGCGTGTGTGTTGTTGGTGGTGGAGACCGTCTCTCCAGTTGATGAGACGTGTGCGCTCACGGCAAATAAGTTCTCTCTCTTCCTCTCCCTTTGTTTCTTTTCCTATTAAAAAAAAAGCCTCCAGCTGTTGTTTTCTTCTTTCTTCTTTCGCTGTGTTCAGCATTTGCATCATCGCACGAGTACCGTTTCCTTTCCTTCTCTCTCTGATTTCTCTCATCGCCTCACCTTCACAGTACGTCTTTTTTTCTTATGCATCCATGTATTTTCTCCACAGGCCAAGAATGAAAAATAGAAACGGAGAGAAGAATTCGGCAGGTGCGTCCTCTTGTGGTTTGTCTTGAGAAGAGGACACCAATCCTATCCAAAGTGGCCGTTCTCTCTCTCGCGGTGGGAGAGGCGCTCTCCCTCGCTTGTCGGTGGGAATACGGCGGAAGAGGAAGATGCCAGCCTCGCTTACAACGTGTCTCCCATTCACTCCTCGCCAGGCGAAGAGCGCGGCGCACCTTCCTTTTCACACGTTCACCTCTCGTAGGATTATTGCGAAATACGATCGTTTCAGGCACCACCTCTGCTGACAAACTCCTTAAAAAAAGAATGTGGAAGGTGTTTGCTATGCTATCCCAACAAAGGCACCTGTACGTAATGCCCGCTGCGCTGTCGCACTCCGTTGACGACGTAAGATCCAGTAAATATAAGCGCCGCGACGTCAAGATGAACTTTGCTTCTTCTCTTTCCTCAGCTTTCCTCTCTTGCTGTCTTTTTTTTTTTTTAATGTCTGCGTAGCGCACGACGGCCAGTCTGGGACTTTCCACTTACAGAGACCCAGTTCGTCTGGCTACGGTGGGTCGAACGTAAACGGCATATATACGTCTTTGGGATTTTTGTGTAGGCGCTGTTGGAACGCAGATCGATCCAAACTCGAAACAGAAACAGAACCAAACACTGATGTCGTCCAGACTACGACTGATGCGGCACACCGCCGCGCCGCGCACGTGCACACGGCAAAACGAAGCGTCGTCCCACAGCACCGCTCTGCTTTCTTTTACTATTTTATCGGTCGTGGAGTTGCTGCGGATGGCAATAGGTGCCGCTTCCTCGTGTGCGCCATCCAGCACTCGAAATTCCAGCGGTGCAACAACTCTCGTGTCTTCCGCTCTATTCCAAAGACCCCCGCGCTACTGCGCGATCGATCGGCTGCAACGCCGCGGTAGCGGCCACACCTGCCTGACACAGCGACACATGGACGGTAAAGCCAGCATCCCGGCAGGTCTCGGCAGCGGCGGCTCCCTCAGAGGACTCCTCCACACCACGCCCATTCGTCTCGAGCGGAATGTGGTGCGCAATACGCTGGCGGACACCCCTTCCGGCTACATTCAGGACCCACGCGTGGCCCCCAAGTTGATGCGGCGCTACGACAGTGTCAGCCGCGTCGGCGCTGCCGCGATCGAGGCGATGGAGCGGGAAAAACAGCTGCTAGAGCAGGAGGAGCTGGCGTACCGCGGCTTCACCACCCTGCGCATTCAAGAGCTGAAGCGGGTGGTGCTAGCACCAGGGAGCACGCCAGCGGACCTCGAAGGCGCGGTGGAGGGCCTCAAAGCGGACCTCGTCGAGCTCTTGAGCGTCGTGGATCAGGAGGTGGAGAAGCCAATTAGCCAGGAGCATATTTTGTTGCTCAAGTGGCAGCAGCGACAGCAGCGGCTGCACGACCGCGATCTCGCCTTCCACGTCGCACCGGTAACAAATCCAGGCTACCGGGTGGTGCAGCAGGCGGACGGCACGGAGGTGCTGGAGAGACCCGGGCGGGACACCCCGCAGACCGACCTGCCCGCAACGGACGACGCGTACCTGTCACAGCCGGTGGAGACGGAGGAGCTGCCGGCCTCCGCGCTCGTGCCGGAGCGAGTGGTGGTGACCATCGCAGACGTAAACCACGTGCGATATTTAATCGGGTTGGCGCTGCGGCGCCTCTCGCGCTTCGAGGAGGCGGAGAAGATGCTGTACAGCGTGTTAGCCGATGACGTGACGAACGTGGATGCCGTTGAGTCGCTGCTGGAGATGGACCTCGGGGTGGAGGGCTGGGAGCCGCGGCTTCGTGTGCTGCTGGACTTTTTGGTGGCGGAGTTCGACACGGCAGTTCGAGAAGGACGGCTGCAGCGGTCCACTGTGGGTGGGGTTGACAACTCGGTGACGAGCCAAGAACGCGATCAAGACACGGAAAGTGAAGCGACTGCATCCGCATCATCAGCAGCGGCACCTTCGATACGGGATGCAGAAGGCGTGCACGAGGCCGCCACAACGGCCACCGCCACCACAACTAGCACCTTGCCGACCCCTGCAAACGCCATCACGGCGTCCCGCACCGCGGCCCCGTATGCAACCGTACCCCAGGCCGCCCCAATTGAGGTGGCCCTCTCTCTTTTGTCCGACATCATCGTCGAGGCGGCCGCGCAAAAGTATTCCACCGACGGCGAAGGCGCCACATCGCGCTTCTTTATCGAGTCCCTCGGCCCCATTATGCGAGCATTGGGTCGTGACTACGCGCCTGCCGTGTTGGCGGCTCTTTTCCAGGCGGTGGATGAGCAGCACTTTATGGCGCGCTTCGACTCCGACGATGTGTCGCCAGCGGCGCGCGCCTTCACTCTCGGCATCGTCATTGCCTTCTTGAAGGCGCTGACGGCCCGTCGCGTTCACGAAATGATGCCGAACCCGGTGCAGTTCGAGTTCTTCACCGCGTCGAAGCTGCACGCAGCGCTGCGCCGAGCCGGCCGCCTGCACGAGAGCTATCACATTTGTGACAAGATGATGAAGCTGTACCGGGACAACTCTGCAGTTTACAGAGCCCGTCTGCGCAGACGCAGCACCGCCGCTCTGCCACGGACGGCATCCGCTTTTCTTGAGGAGTTGGCGCAGCCGCAGCCGCAGCATCGCGCCTTGTTTGACACGGCACCGGTACCGGAGGAAGTTGGCGACAGCGGCGAGGAAGAGGCGTCCCCGTCTCCCGCCTCCGCAGGCCCGTCCACCACGTCACCGTCACCGTTGACGGGCAGCGGCCAGCTCGGCACCGTGGAGGAAGACAACGTTGCTGCTGGTGCTGCTTCGACGTGCGACACGGCCGCCGAAGAGGTGTCGGAGGACACGGAGGAGCCGCCCGATGTGCTGGATGATCAAGACGGCGACTACCGTGAGGCTTTTTTCCAGTACGTGAATGACCGTGCACGCGACTCGCCCTCGCTGGGGCGCCGTCTCTGCCTGGAGGCGATGCGAGAGTTTCCGAACTGCGCCGCACCGTGGGAGACGCTGGCGCTGCTGCTGCACAAGGAGAATCCCGAGCGCAACCTACACGACGCCATCGTCGCGGCCCGCCACGGCCTGCTGCTGGAGCCGCTCAACTTAAGCGTGATTGTCACGCTGGCCAATTTTTACAAGGCGGCGGGCCGCTACGAACTGCACGAGCGCATGCTGGACCGCTATCGCCTGCTCGCGTACATGGCCGAGGAGGGGGCGAGTGTGGCGGATATGCAGGCGACGGCGGCCGAGGTGGAGGCGTTAGACCGGGTGACGCCGGAGGCGCAAGACTTGGTGGCGGAGACCGGGCGAGAGATGTCGGAGTACATGTTCCGCCTGGAGCAAGCCACGACCTACTCGATGCCGATCGACAAGGAAACACGCCACTTCCGGAAGGAGCCGGTGCGCTTCTTCTCGCAGCAGCCGGATATGCGACCGCCGGAGGTTCGTGCGCACGAGTCGGATCCGGAAGACAAGCTTTCGATGGACACGGCACGGCGCCCCCTCACGTGAGGGAGAGGAACGAACAACGAAGCAGGTTGCGCGGTCGCATTGTATTGCCTGCGTGGTTTGCGCAGGAGAGAGAGGCTTCACACACCTTCCATTACCGTTTTGTTTTGGGTTTTTAGTCTTTTCGTTCCTCCATCTTTTTTGGGGGTATTCGGTGAGTGTATATCGTACTGCGCACATCCAAGCGCACCGCGTGACAAAGAGGGAAAGTTGCTTCTATTAAAGTGAAGCGCACGTTCATGGAGGGGAAAGGGCTGACCTCGGCCGTGCCCTTTCTCCCCCTCCACGTCTACAGCGAAGCATTCGCCACGAAACCGATACACGAAGCGATAGGCTTTCCGTTCTAGAAGCCCACAATAAGGTATTTTTGCTAGTGTACTTTTATGTGATGCTGATGGAAGTCTTCTGTCGAGGAAGGGGAGAAGAACATATATATATCCGTACCTCGACGATGGGCGTTGAAGCGCCGGTAGTACAACCCTTCGAGTTTCTTGGTCACTATTTGCTGCTTAATGTGTCCCGTCGGTCTCCCTCCTGTCTGACGCAGCGCCGCCGCTTTTTTCGCCTTTTCCACCGAGAGAGAAGGGGAGAGATAGAGAATGGGGGATATGCGGATTCATCCACCCCCTAACAAACAACGACAACAAGCAAACAAAAACGGTGACTGCACCCATGCGTAATATCGAATTAAATCGAGGAAAGAAAGACACACCGCCCGTCGTACCTCTTCACATCAACAATTATATCCCGGTTCACTGCAGACCCTTGCAGGAACGAACTCGCACCAGCTCCGCGCTACGGAGAGAGAGAGCTGTCTTCACTAGATTCTTAGATACACCTTAGTTTCTTTTTCCGTGTCCTTGTTACAGCATTTTGTTTTTCTTTCGTGCGAGTAATTATTTCTAGATTGGAGTTCTGCGCCTTTTCTTTCTTTCTTGGCCCTATAGAATTGTTCTACTTTCAGCGGTGCGGCGCCCATGCGTCGTGTAATACGTGAGCCGCAGGAGCTGCAGGAGGAGGAGGAGTCACCTGCGGAGGCACCCTATACAACGCCGCGTACATCGCAGACGGTGCAGCGGCGGCCACTCGGCGATGCCGAACACGTTGATCGTGTGCCAGCACCACAGCGTCCCTCGCTCTCCGCCACACGGACAACCCGTCTTTCCACGGGCGAAGGCAACTTCAACGATGTAGCCGCGGTAGCGGCGGCACCACGTCGAGTGTCTGGCCCTCCGTCTTTCTGTACAGCGACGAGCCTCTATCGCAGCCACCTTCCCACCAATAGCTGCCACGGCATCCACAACGCCGATTACGTAGAGGGTGCTCCGGCTTCGACGCCAACGCATCTCGCGTCGTCGTCGCCTACCGGAGGAAAAGACTTGACAACGCCGCCACGACGACCATCCCGCATCGTGCCATCGCCCACAGCGTATCACATCCTGGAAAACACATCGCAGACGCCGGCGAGCAAGGTATATCCCACGCCGCCGTGGTGGCAACGATGCGCAGAGGGCGTTGGAGAGGCGGAGGAAAGACCAGAGGTGCGTCACGGAAACGTAGTCGGTCCGGCGGCGCCGCATCAGAGAAGTGACGCCCCTTTGCTACGCGTAACACACCACCGCAACAGCTGTCGGGATGAGAACCCACACATGAACACCGATCGAGACGATGACTATGAAGACGAGAATGATGCGCGCAGACTTTCCACGGCGCCCCCACCACCACCACCGCCCCGGTCACGTACTCGCAGTGTCACTTCCCACCGCTTATCTCGCACTGTCTCTCCGTCGTCCGCACAGTCGGCCGCAGACGACGACTCCCCTCTCCGCTTTGTCGATCCAGCGGCGTACGGCCCACCCCAACACACATCACACTTGCCGAAGTGCACTGCTCAAAACGGTGCGGGCGAGCTGCAAAGCGCGGAGGCCCGACAACGACATCAACCAGCACCGTCGCCTGGGACGTCTCGGCTGCATCGACAGTCATCGCAGCAGGACGCAGAGGCGACGTTTTTCTTTCACAGGGACGCAAGCACAGCCTCCACCTCCTCCGCTGCGATGAGCACGGCGACATCGGCAGCCGCGACATCATCCGCAGCACCAACGCAGACGCAGCGGCTGCGCATCTTCAGAGAGAGCGCGGCGCACCCGTCTGGGTTTCCAGTGCCACTGCGCGGAGCAGGTACGGCGGCTCCTCGCACCCTGTACAACGGCCTAGCTCTTCTCCCCGCCACCGTTGCGGATCGTCAGGCGGCCACCCGCGCCGCGACGAGCGGGCACGCCGCAGTCCTATACGGCACCGGTAATCATCCGTCCACCTACGACGTTCAAAAATACCGCCACGCGGTCGCAGCGGTGACCGGTGTTGACCCCGCCCGTCTGCGCGCCGGCGTGTTAAGCCAGTGCTACATGCGTGTGCATAGTGGGTGGACGGAGGTGGCAGACGAGGGCGGCGGTGAGGCGGGGACGCGGCTGCAGCACACCACGACCCGACTGCGGTTGGGCCTACGCGGCGGTGGGGCACCGCAGAGGGCGGAGCTGCAGGATCCAATCTCAGGGCTGCAGCGGAAACCGAATGAGGTGTCCGCCGCCTACCTGACGAAGTCAATACAGGAAGAGAAGCGTGTTGTGGGGCGTGTGAACGACAAAAGCGGTGATAATCGAAGCGCATCGACGAGCAGCTCCGTGGCATACGTTGATGATGGCGGCGACCATCCTCACCACTGTCCTCCTCCGCGCCCTCGTGCGGAGACGGCACCAGGAGAAGGTCTGAACAAGCTCGCGTTGGAGAGGCGCACCCGGGCCAACGCGCGACCTTCACTCCTACGCCCGACGCACGCCGCGACCGGTATGCTTCTCACGCCGGACGAGAAACGGTTGTACTGGGCGGAGCACGCACCGCTGCATCACGCTGCCGTGCGCGGCCTGAACGCGCTGCTGCAGGGCGTTGGGGAGGCGGAGTCGGCTTACGACGCCGCGTCGGTCAGCACAGGCGAGCAAAACACGTTTACGGGAGCCGCGTCAGCGTGTGGCAAAGGTGGGCGGCACACGTACGTGGCGGCCGGCCGCGATGCCCGTCCATTTCACAAGGATCGATACTTTATACCACCAGAACTCGATCCTCCACATCACAGTTCCACGACCGCGATAAAACGTGTTGCCAACTACAGTGATGCACAAAGCTTGATGCATGCCTCTTCACGGCCACAGCAGCGTATGGAGGAGAGAACAAGCCGTCCGCTCCCCCACGCGGATGTGGATCGCGCTCGAGCGCAGCTGCTAGACGCGCTGCGGCAACGGCGGGGCCGGGAGAGCACGCTCATGACCTCCTCCATCCTTCCTGCGTCGTACCGTCGCCATTCGCGTTCTCCCGTGCGTGGCGTGCGAGACGAAGAAGAATGTGCGGACGTCGTTGCGACGACGGAGCACGAAAACGATGTCTACTACGGTGCTGCCACGCGGAGAGACGGGGTCGAAAGTTCTTTTGATGTGGCAGACGACCCTGTTGGTGAGAGGACGATGGGCTTGGTGGACTCCTACGCGGTACACGACGCATCTGGTTCTTCGTTGATGGCGGAGGGAACCGTTTTATCGGAGGCGCGAAAGGGTCGCCGTAATGGTGTGTGGAGCGCACCGAGCCGTACGGGCGATGACCGGCACATCCCAAAGAGAGAGGCGTCTGCGTGCCCTGCGGCTGGTGTCCCTTCTCGCCCGATAGCTGCGGGAGACGCGTCACGCCCATCGCCGCCGCACCACACCGCCGCCTTCCTTTTCCCACCCATGATGACCCCGCTGCTGCACGAAGTCGACGAGTGCTTGCGCTTTCACGGGTTACCTGTGGTGGGGGACATGTGGCAGTGGAACGTGACGGAACAGATGGCGCTGCTGCGCTCCGCCGGGTTCAGTGCTGAGGAGTGCCAAACGATTGCGTGGGAGCTTGAGCGCATGATTCGAGCCACGTCGACGACGTGCCCGGTGGCGGTGTAGCGTGATGAATACGTTGTGTGTATCTGTGTGTGGTACGCTTTGAGCGGGAAACGCATGACCCGTTCTTCTTGCGATGCCGGTTTTTTTGTTTTTAGAGGTTGCCGCAGTGAAGTTTCACCCGCCATCTCATAGTCACGAAGATGGGGCGCTTTGGAAAAGAAAGGCGGTATGTTTATATATATATATGTAAACCACTTCGATCGTGTAGTCCAATGTACATGTTTTCATTTTCTTGTGCATGACGGTAGTCGACCCATTCATCTGCGATATCTGCTGATGGAGTGCGGGGGGAGGAAGCCCGCAGCGCAGTGATTTTTCTCTTTGCTTTCGTTGTCACGCCTCACCCCCAAAGGCAGCTCTTCTGCTCATCGGGCCCTACGCGCTGTTTTTTTGTTTTTACGGCTTTCTTCTCTACCCCCGTCTTAAGTTCTTTTTCTTTGGTTGTTGTGCGTCATTGCGAGTCACGTAGACACGGACATATATACACACGAACAAGCACGCACAAACACACAGAAGTACGCACAGACACGCAATCAGCTCCTATGTCTTTTTCACAAGTACAACACTGCGCCCGCGCTACGGCGACGGGCCTCGCGACGCTCCTCGTTGTCCTGTTGCTTCTCGTTCTTGCAGGTCTGCCGGCACAGGGCACAACCGCTGACGTCACCGGTTCGGCGTGGCTGAGCGGACCGGCTGAGATTTGGGCCGCTGCGATGGGAGGGTCCGACACCAGCGAGAACGCAAAGCTGCTCAGGGGGGCCATCAAGATGGATTTTACTGCCGCCATCACGGCCCTCGATGCGGGTGCCGATGTGACGGTGAGCACGCTGACGCCCAACACGGCACCCCTTTCAGGTCCTGTTTACGGCGCGCAGGCGACCTACACCGTCACCTCCACCTCGCTCACCGTACCGCAGATCGACGAGTGCCTGCGCGGGGCCACAATGACAACCCTCAACTCTTTCTTCGATGCGGGGGCTGCGTCTTTGCACCTCACGATTACGGTGCTGAACGCGTACGCGCCGGCAGACATGACGCACATTGGAGACACCTATTTACCTTTAACGGGGGCGTCCTTCATGTGGCAAATGACCTTCGACATCTTGACGGCTGCTGGGCCGGCTGCCTTGGCGAGCTTTATCCTCCCGATTATGCAAGATCTGCAGAACACCGTCGACTCGACTGAGAAACTATACCTCATGGTCGTGCCGGCGGATGTCACGAAGCACATTGTCAACGCCTCCTCCCTGTACGCGGCCTACTCCATCTGGTCCTACCCCTCCAACCCAGACCCGGCCTCGGCGGCCACGTTGGAGGCGAAGGCCATGACAACGCCGCTGGCGCACTTCAGCGCCTTCGTCAGGGGTCTGAAGACGACCTTCCCCGCCCTCGACGAATACGCTGACCTCATCCCAGACCCTGTCAAGACGTGGACGCCGCTCCTCCCGGACCCGAACGGCGGCAGTAGCAGCGGCGACGACGACGTGGTGGTCACGGGCTACGTCACAGGCAACTATCTGCTCACCTTTGCCGGCGAGGTGGTAGTGTGGGATCGATCCTGGACAACGCAACGCGCGGCGGTGGAGGCGACGATTGTGGCGGCGGCGGAGGCGAGGCTCCTGCGGCGTCAGTATCGCACGACGGCCACGGTGGTGTCCGCCGATACAGTGCAGAGCAGCAAGAAGTCTGTCAGCGGTCTGCAGGTGGTTTGCCACGTTACACACGGCTACCCCGCCGACGCGACGCATATCTGGGGGCCGAATGACATCGCCTCGATGCTGCTGCAGGGTAACTACTCGGCCACCCAGATGATCTACACAGCTGCAGCTCTCAGCACGGCGGGCACGCCGACCGCCCTCGTCCCACGGCTCTCCGTCGTGGCCCTCGGGGACACCACCGTTGCTGCTGGTGCTCTGGCCTCGACGGAGATCGAGTACGACTACACCGTGAAGATTCTTCCTGTCGAGATCGGACTGATTGTGATGGCGGCCGCTGTCTTTGGGTTGGCGATGATCGCCTTCTTCATTGCGTGTGGGTGCTTCTGCTGTTGTCGCCACTGCATCAGCACGAACAAACACGGCAACAGCACCCGCGCCAGGGGCAAAGCGGAACGCACGCCGCAGCTGCAGGCGGATTTGGAACGCGATCAGCGCCGCAGGAAGAACTTGGATGCTGACTTCGCCAGCGACGAAGACCCATATCACGTCCACAAGAAGCACCGGAAAGGTACGCGATCCCCTAACCCGCTGTGTTCCCATGATGAGCACAGAGCCCTTGGCCCCCGAGAAGAGGATGAGCAGGAAACGCAGCAGCTGCGAACAACGTCGCTAACGTTCAGCAACTCGGATAACTCGGATCCGGTGAAGAAGGTGCCACCTCTGCCGATTGCCGCGACGGAAGGCGTGCCGATGGACCTCACGGAGACGCCTGTCACCCCCGGCGAGGATCATCCCCACAGGCACTACTACGACGCCACGCCCGATGAACAGGCAGCGGATGCGGTGGTGGACGCCGCTGTCGTCTCCGCACCCCCGCAGGAGGAGGAAAAGCACGGTGGCGGTCGCCCGCAGAGCTCGCGACACATGAGGCATCGCGGCAAGCGAGCTGCGGCTGCGGAGCCACCACGGCAGAGCACGCCTCCCCGACCTGAGGCCGGCAACAACTACACGCAGCAGTACATGGCACTTGTGGACCCCACGCTCTTCTTCAGTACCGACGCCCCCGACCCGTGCGCCGCCGGACAGGAGGAGGCGACGGAGAAGCAAACACGGCTGAGCCAGAACAGCTTGCTGGAGGCGAAGAACGCCGCGGCGTTACCCCCGGCAGCGTACCCGCAACTTGACGAACACCACCTCCAATACCAGCAACAGCGCTACCACCACCGCTACTCGGCGTCACCGCCGCCGGCATACCCGTCTGCGGAGCTGTACGCTGGTGCCCCTGTCCCGACTACGACGACCTCGCTCTCCAGCTTCATGCCGATGCTAAATATCCGGAAAAAGAACTGAAAGAGTTCACTTTCGTGATTTGTATGTTTTCTTCTCCTGCTGTTTTACATACTTTTGTTTGCTCTTATTTTGGTGTAAGAAGGGTTGTGTACCAGTGAACCGTGATGTAGAATACATGTGCCGCCTCACCCACCTCGTCATCACGCGTGTGAGAAAGGAAGGAAGGGAGAAGAGGAAATGCGAACTGTGTGGGAGATAGGATGACTACATCTTCTTGTTTTCTCTTCCTTGTCGTTGTGGCTCGGATGGGCATGAAAGCCTCTCCCCCCCCCCGCCCCTGTTTTCATTCGTACGTGTACCATGATAACTCATTTGCGTCAGCAAAAAAAAAAATCTTTCCGCCGGCATTTTTTCTGCTGCTGATTTTTGTTTCTGGCTGTTGTCAATAGGCTGGTTGGTTCGTTGTTGTGTGCGAGTCGCAGTTGCTCTCTAATGCTCTTTTTTTTTCTTTCTCTCTTCTTTTTTCTGTGCTTGCTTGGTGGCTGGTGCTCCGCAGTCGCCGGCGTATTTTAGTTGCTCTTGCTGCTGTAGCTTTGCTGTGAACTGAGGTGATCTTATCTTGGGTTTTTTTCTCGTTTTTCTCATGTGGACGTAAAAGTTTTCTGTTTACGTATTTCTTTTGTGAAAGGCCCTTCTTCAGACACGTCAGCTCACGCCCTTCGGTTTTCTACGCCTTGGGGGTAAATTCAAGGCCCTGTTCATAAGTAGCTACCTTGTGTTTATAGCAAAGATTCTGTTAGTTTTACTCCCCCATGTTGCTTGATTATGTTGTTGTTAGCTGGGCGATGAAGTGCCGACCAGCGCCCCTAGTTGTCATTACCGCTGGTAGTATTATTTTCGATGGAATCACGTCTCATTTTATGTTAACCCTTTTTTCTTTTGTGTTTTTGCGGGCCTCGATATCTTGCTGGAGAAGCCGTTTTTTGCTCGTGACGTGCGCTCGAAGAGCAAAACAACAAAACAACAAAAGCGAGCGAGGGCATAACGGAATGTGCGTTTCTGCACTCTCCCTTCCCCTCTTTTCAATAGTAACGAGAAAAGAAGGAAAGGAAACATTCTTAACGCTTCTTATTGCGGTTAACTTCTCAGCTTGGTTTCTTCTTTTCCCCATTGCACTCTTGACGCGGATGCCGAGCTGTGCAAGGATTTTTTGTTCTTTGCTTTGTTTCGTCGTTGACGTGTCGATCGGTGCGCGCATCACTTGATGGAAAAATATGGCACCTCATCTTTCTCTCTCTATACGTGTATATACTGTGCGCCATAAGGGCTATGTATACCAGGGAAAGGTGCGTGTAGAGTGAGGAAGTCGTGTGCTTCGTCCTACTATCGTCAAAGGTGTTTCTTTTCGTATCGCGTACACTCCGCTGTTTTGGTTTTTTTTTCCTCTTCTTAAATGTGCTAGCTGGGATTATCTTAAGGAGAACAGCAGAAGTAGATCGATAAGGTGTGTTAACACGTCTTCATCATTTTTTTGTTTTCGATGTGTTTCCTTTCCCCATTCTTTCTCGTTTTTCCTTTTTGAAGATTTCCACGGCATCGAAATCCAATGTTACAGAAGGCTTTTATTTTTAATATACGTCATCATTCACACATTTACCTCATGTTGTCCTCTTCGCCTTTAAAAACGAAAAAAAAAGAAACACCAAAGAGGAATGTGGAACACCACAATGTCTCGTTACTTATGTATGCACTCTGCCTGTTTCCCGGCGTCGACAGTCGGTTTTTTAGTCCTCTTCAAATCCCAGCTGTTCTGATGTCTTTTTAGTATATATTTCTATTGTAGGACAAGCTCAAGCCCATCAAGTGTGCAATTTACCTTGTTCTTCAAAGAGAAACAAAACATAAAGCACATCATTTAAGTCCTGCACGTTGACTCAACGTTTACGTCTTGTTTTTCGCTACCGTTCATCAATTTCCCTCGATATCTCTTCGGTTATGTATGTGTGTGTGTGTGTATGTGTTCGAAGCACCCTGTTCCTTGTCGAATCCTTTTTTCCAGTTTTCTTTGTTGGGTTTCTTTCTGTATATATGTATACGCGTTCAAGAGCGTTTTTTTAATGGTTGATCATATGTATTGTGTTTTTGAACCCCTGCGATCCTGGTTGTGGTTAGTCTGAAATTACTTCTGTTATTATATATATATGTTTTAAACACACACAGCTGGTCTTTTTTTTCTCCTCTTTTCTCCTCCACCTTTTCTTCCTTTTCTAAAGTAACCCGGCGATGGGCACGGCGTCGTCATGGAGAACAGTGCCGAATCCAACAAGGAAAAGAGGAAGAAGCACGGCCTTATTCATCGTCGAGACACCTTCACCGAGACACACACATCTTTCTTTTCTTTTTCTTTCCCTATAACTTATGTATTACAAGATAGGGAGAGAGGATGTGCACTCTCGAAGCAGCAGCTCAAACGGAGAACTAAGAGAACTTCCATTAATACAATTTTTTTTTCGGTTTTTTGCTTCTTAAGGGCTCCTAGAAAAGAAGAAAAACAGAGAAGAAACCGACAGTGCTTTCCGCCTGTTTTCTCATCAAATATATATGTATGAACTCCTGACGCTAAGGGTAGAACTAAAGCTGTTTTATGAATACCTATGTGTCTCTTTTCTATTTAGGTTACAGGCTTGTTCGTTTTGCTTCCTTTTGGTTTAAATTGTATGTGTGTGTGTCTGCCGTCGCCAAACAGCATCCTAACCCCCCCCCAAAAAAAAAAAACACACTCCTTTGGCATAATAAAGCCTCCCTCTTCCCGGGAGCTGCCCTGCCTCTATGCTGGTAACCGTTGAACAGGAAAAGCAAGAAGAAACGCTGATACGATTCAAGCGCTTTATCGGCTGCGCACGTGTTAAAAGAAAAAGACCCGTACCGTCACAGATGATGTCAGAGCGAAAGAGAACAGTCCTCCTCTTCGCTTCCACAGCTGCTTCCTCGCCGGAACGTCTCTGACGGTGTGTTTCCACCCCTCCTTCCTCTTTTTTTTTGTAAGGAGAGATCCTCGCTTGCCGGCTTCTGTGCTCCTGCCAGTCAAGATAGAAAAAGTAATGACAACAACGGGCGCTGGGATGTTGTGCGGCACGCACTGCAGCACGAGAACGAAGAAGAAAAAAAGATCATGAGTGCCACTTCGCGATCCGTGCAATCAGTCCGTCCGTCTCTTCTCTTTTCATCTCTTGTTCTCGTCCCCCCTCCCCCCTTGGGGTTCTCGTTCCTTGTCGATTCTCCGCTGCGTGTGCGTCGGTCTCCACGTTGAACGCCATTTGAAAGCTGCAATTGTGTATACATTCTTTTCTACACCACTGTCGCCTCTACGCTGCGCAGACGACCTTGATATTGATTCGTGCACAGTAACAAGAAAAAGAAGTATAAGCCCCCTTTTTTCCCATTTGCTCCCTCTTCCTTTTTTCTCTCTCCACCTACCCGCCGTCTGCTGAGACAAACGAATTTAAATCGAGACATCAATAATAGCAACACCCACGCAGTCATGCCCTCCACAGCAGAGCACGTGGCAGAGATTCACGCCTTTCTTGATGAGTGGCACAAGGCAGCAGCCAAGGGCGACTTTGACTTCTACTTTGGTAGCATGACAGAGGACGCGCACTGGCTGGGTACCGATGCGGCAGAAAACTGGAGCAAGTCTGAGTTTGCCGCCATCGCCAAGCCGCGCTTTGACAGCAAGCAGGCGTGGGACTTCACGGCGGTGGAGCGCAATGTCTACGTGCAGGCGAACGGTACGTTTGCGTGGTTTGATGAGGTGCTGGATACCTGGATGAAAGCCTGCCGCGGCAGCGGTGTGTTGGAGAAGGTGGAGGGGCAGTGGAAGGTGCATCACTACGTGCTATCCATGACGGTGCCGAACGGAGAAGGCAAGGAGGAGTTGAAACGGGAAATACTGCCGTTTAAGGGCAAGTACGAAGATAGCATGCTTGCCGAGATGCGTAAGAAGCCGAAGCACAACTGATCTAATCTTCAGTTCTGTTATTGATGCCGTGTTATCGTCCGTGCGGGCCTTTTCGCATGTGTGGGGGTAGGCGTCCTCGTCTTTCTTTTCCTTTCCCATCAGGTGGCGACGCAACCGCGACGGAGGGGAGGGGGGGGGGGGAGAACTCGATGCCTGGAGAGCGGGAAAGCCCGCACCATTTTCTGTCGCTTTCATTTCGCGCCTGCATGCGTGAGCTCCAGTAAACTGCAACACTACCGAAACAAAAATAATACTAATAATAATAGTAAGAGAAGCGCCAGACCCCGGCATGTTTCGTGAGGCGAAGGTATTCGGCAATCGTAGATGGTCGAGTGATACTCTATTTCACGGAGTGCGAAAGCGACCATCTCCATCTGCTGGTGGCTCTTTTTTTCTTCACTCGCACCGCACGACGCGAACAGAACTGTGACGTTAACGGATATGAGATGTTTTTTTTTGTTTTCCCGTTAAACGATCTTCCCTGCTTTTCCTCCTGTACAATCTTTGCAATGCTTCACGCTTCCGCCCACATCGCCAACGTAGCTCTCGTTGCTAAATCTTAAGGTCTCTTGCGTTGCACGTAGCCCGAAGCCAACCCCACCTTCCAAAGCTTTCGCAGCCTTTCGTTGAAGTCACAGCGTTACACAAGTCACCTTCTTCCGTCAAACAACCGGCGTTTCACTCACAATTCACGCCTCGTAAAGCCGATTATTTTTGATTCCCAAAGTGTTTTCTTAGCCTCGCCACCCCCTCTCTTCCTTTTTCAAACATAAACATCAGAACACTCACAGAGGTCAGGTCGTGCCTTTTCCGTTCTCGTCACCATGGTGTCCTTCGCAACACGTGCGGCGTCGCTGCTGCTGACGCTGGCCATGGCCCTCTGCTGCATCCCCACTGGCTATGCCGCGCCGGAGGTATCGACGTACAACATGATCGCCGGCGTGAGCGGGTCCTCCTACTTCTGGTCTGTGGTGAGCGATATGATTCAGCAGCAGCAGATGCTACAGTCGATGTTCAAGGCGGCGCTCCAAGACGACCTGCAGACTGCGGCGGGCACGGACGTGACGGTGACGTACAAGGACATACTTGTCAACGCGTCTGCGATGTACGTCAAGTACACGGCTGCGGTGGCGGGGCCTTCGCCGACGCAGGCGGAGGTAGAGGCGCGCGTGGCCGCGGACGCGACGTTTCCGAAGCTGACGGAAATCCTCACTCAGGTGAAGGAGCAGGTGTCTGAAATCGCCGACCTAGTCCCGACGAACCTGTCGGTGACGTTCCCGCTGCCGGTGGACCCCAACGCGGACTCGTCGTCGTCTGGCTACGAGGTCGTGGACAGCGTGCAGTACGATGTGCTGGTGCTGTTCTCCGGCCCGCCGCCTGCGTGGACGACGGCGCTGGAGGCCAACCGCCACAGGGTGTCGGCCGACGTTGCCGCGGCCGTGCAGGCGCTGATGGACTCGAGCAAGCTGCGGAACGACGTGGAGGTGCGCGGCATGCATGTGCTGGCCGAGGACGCGAGCACGAAGTCGATGGGCAGCGGTGCTGGCGGCCTCCTCGTGCGTCTGAACGTTGTGTCCTCTGCGACGACGGCGATGACGAGCCGCCACCTGTCGACGACGGAGTACGCGAGTGTGTTGCTGCTCCTGGACACGACAACGCTGTCGGCGACGTTCAGGGCGTTGTCGGGCTCGACTGCGACTGTTGTGGTGGAGGAGACGACAAGCGTCGCTGCCACGGGCGTGAGCGACGAGTGCGATGCCTCCTGCAAGGGCATGATTGTGATGACGGCGGTGGTGGTGGCTCTCGTGGCGATTGTTGTCGTTCTCACTCTCATTGCCATCTGCTGCCCATGCTGCTGCGTGCGCTCGCCTCGTGAGGACTACGTGGTTAACGGGAAGCAGAAGTACGCAGTTCAGACAAGCGCGGCGGAAGCCATCAATGTCTACGGCGATGAAAATATCGCAGAGTCGCACGCGCCGACGACGGTCGCGCCTGTTCGCACGAGCAGCAACGAGCCCACTATAGAGTGAGCAGTAAAAGTAAGAGTACGTATATGTGTTTGTCTTTGCTTGATTTTTCTTCTCTTCTGGGAAGCTCTTGTCAGCGTCGTTTCCTAAAACCCGACGCGTACACCTTTCTCCTTTTCTCTTTCCTTGATCACGCGAGATGTATATGAACAACCCTGTGCACACCTCATCGGTCAACACTTAATTCGACCCATGAGGTGAGAAGCTATGTAGCGGAGCGCGTGAAGGACGCCGTTTGCGTGAGTCTAAATGTTTTGCGATGACAGACTCGAGAGGAAATACCCGGGTCTTCCTCAGTTTTTTTTTTCTCTTTTGGCTACCTCAATTGCATCATCTTCTGTTTTTGCCTCCCCTCTTTTTCTGAAAAGAAATTCTTTTATGTATATATATGTGTTTTTTTTTTTAAGAATGAAAGATGCAACAGGGCTGTCTTATGTGCCGTTTTCGTTTCTCTCTTTCCTCTTCTTTCCTCTTGCATGTTTGGGCTCCTCGGGGTTTGCTCTATTAATGTTGGTCTCTCGGTTGCGGGGAGCACAACAAAAAAAGGGAGTCGGCGTGCGTGTCTTGCTTTAGCATTTCCTCTTGCTGCTACTCTTTCTATGATGTCATTTTTTCCTTTTTCTGGCAAAATGCTCGTTCGTGTGCCGTGGAGAGAAGTTTTAGCATTCACCACACGCACTTCATTTCCTTTCCTTTAAACCTGTTTTCGTTGTTTCTCTTGTTCACGGAAAAGCAGTCACAAAACTCGACTGTCATGCAAAGGAAGGAAAAACACAAATGCTTTATCACTCTTCAGGGGTTTTTTTTTCTACCTCTCGCTTCTTCACCTTTTTTTTTCCGCTCTCCCTAAATGCTTTGTGTGCTCGAAGAGCCCTATAAACTGACTCTTTCGTGCGCCCTTTCGTCTCACCCGCAGCGCCGTGGCTGTCCCCGCCTCTTCTTCTGTCGCCGACTTGCCCGGAGATGCTGCGCACCGAAGTCTTTTCGAAACGGCTGTGTGCATCTTTTTACGAACTTTTTCTTTTTATTTTGAGCGTAATACGGATGATGAAGCGCACTTTTCGCCGCACTCTTAACACGTACAGCAACGACAAAAAATGAAAAGATTAGGAGGAAGACGTCTCTACTCGTGAAGGGAAAGGATTGAATACGAGTATTTGGAATAACGTCACCACAACAGACGGGCGCTGCAGCTGAAAGAAAAGAAAAGAGCCAAAGCAGTGGACTGGAAGGGAGCAACTCGTGACGTCTGCCGTTGGGTGCCACCGCTGGCGTGAGATGTACGTAGTGCATTCACAGGTGCTATGCTCCGATAATATATATATTTCTTTGTTCTAGCCTCGAAAACCATTGAATAATGAGAATCAAAAACAAAATAAACCATTTGCTTTCGCCTACATAGTATTTCATTCATGTTGTTGCTTAATTCCTTTTTTTTTTCAGCACCACTTAGTGGATGAACTGATCACAGCAGAAAACTCTTGAGGGAAAATAATATTCTCGAGGCGCGAGCTTTATGTGGGCCCCAACGTGCGTTTGAAACTGCTGTTGCCGATCGACGTTACGAGCTCAATGTTTGCATCAGTGCTTATCTCTTCCGGTGGTATCAACGCGGAAAGAGGAACTAGAAGAAGAAGAAAAGGCACATGAATGGACAGTTATCTGTCTTTCTTAAGTCGGCGTAACGCTCCTTACTCCTACTCTTGGTATATGGACACAACTGCGCTGCTGGATTGAGTACACACACATACACACATATATATGTATTTACCTCCCCTCTGTCTCCTGTTTCCGTCCTGGCTGCGGCGCTTTACTACCTTCTCTGGTGCGTGCTCACGCATAGGCTACAAGAAAACGCAAAGCAGCGTGTTTCTCTCCTCTCGCTCGGCCCCCCCCCCCCCTACCCCACCACCCCGGCCTGCGCCTCTCGCCGGCTATTCTTTGCACCACACTAACAAAAAAACAAAAACAAAAATAGAAGCAATACCCATAACGGCATCTCCAGCCGCAGTCGAACGCTCTTCATTTTTCTTCATAAGAAGAAAAAGCAAATAGAAGAAGACTCGGCTCTTTTGATGAGGACTGCTTTAATCTTTTCCACCAACGAAACACAAAGACTCCCCCTTCAGACGACGAACCCTTTTCCGTTCTCGTCACCATGGTGTCCTTCGCAACACGTGCGGCGTCGCTGCTGCTGACGCTGGCCATGGCCCTCTGCTGCATCCCCACTGGCTATGCCGCGCCGGAGGTATCGACGTACAACATGATCGCCGGCGTGAGCGGGTCCTCCTACTTCTGGTCTGTGGTGAGCGATATGATTCAGCAGCAGCAGATGCTACAGTCGATGTTCAAGGCGGCGCTCCAAGACGACCTGCAGACTGCGGCGGGCACGGACGTGACGGTGACGTACAAGGACATACTTGTCAACGCGTCTGCGATGTACGTCAAGTACACGGCTGCGGTGGCGGGGCCTTCGCCGACGCAGGCGGAGGTAGAGGCGCGCGTGGCCGCGGACGCGACGTTTCCGAAGCTGACGGAAATCCTCACTCAGGTGAAGGAGCAGGTGTCTGAAATCGCCGACCTAGTCCCGACGAACCTGTCGGTGACGTTCCCGCTGCCGGTGGACCCCAACGCGGACTCGTCGTCGTCTGGCTACGAGGTCGTGGACAGCGTGCAGTACGATGTGCTGGTGCTGTTCTCCGGCCCGCCGCCTGCGTGGACGACGGCGCTGGAGGCCAACCGCCACAGGGTGTCGGCCGACGTTGCCGCGGCCGTGCAGGCGCTGATGGACTCGAGCAAGCTGCGGAACGACGTGGAGGTGCGCGGCATGCATGTGCTGGCCGAGGACGCGAGCACGAAGTCGATGGGCAGCGGTGCTGGCGGCCTCCTCGTGCGTCTGAACGTTGTGTCCTCTGCGACGACGGCGATGACGAGCCGCCACCTGTCGACGACGGAGTACGCGAGTGTGTTGCTGCTCCTGGACACGACAACGCTGTCGGCGACGTTCAGGGCGTTGTCGGGCTCGACTGCGACTGTTGTGGTGGAGGAGACGACAAGCGTCGCTGCCACGGGCGTGAGCGACGAGTGCGATGCCTCCTGCAAGGGCATGATTGTGATGACGGCGGTGGTGGTGGCTCTCGTGGCGATTGTTGTCGTTCTCACTCTCATTGCCATCTGCTGCCCATGCTGCTGCGTGCGCTCGCCTCGTGAGGACTACGTGGTTAACGGGAAGCTGAATTATGCGTTGTAGACGGCAAACGTAGTGGTGGACAAGAGCATCTACGGCTATCGGGATACAGACGAGTCTCTTTTGCCGCCGACGATGGCGCATGCGCGCTGCGGGAGAGGTGAGTAGACGGTCTAATGAAGGTTGACGTCTCTCTACCCTCTTTCCTTCGGCCACTTCTACACGAGACATAGATGATGCTGGCTAGTATCATTGTGTGCCTTCCACGTCGTGTGCGTGTTTAAGGTGGACAAACCGAATGCACCGTTATGGTTTAGGGACGCTACTCGTTGCTTTTTATGGTTCTCTTTTTCTCCTTTTTTGTATTTTGCAGCATGTATATTACACAACAACACAGCAAGAATGTGTCGTGCGGTGGACGTGGGATACGTTAACGAAGGCGACTTTCACAAGCAAAGCAACGGGGAAAACCTGCAGAAGCAAGAACAGGATGCAGCTACAGAGGTAGAGTGTGAGCTATTACCCTTGAAACACAACAACGAGAGAGTTGCGAGGAGTAAATGTGGTAGTAGAAAAAAAAAAAGCAGTAGAAAGCAAGAGAAACGTATTACTCCGCAGTGCGTGTGTGTGTGCTCGCCTTCCATTTCCTTGGGAGGAGGGGCGGTCATCACTTTTGTCAGCGGGAATGCGGTGTGGTCCGTGTGAAAAAGAATAAAGGCAGCTGTCAGGAAACGAAACAGAAGAAAATACGTGCGCTGCCACAACCGTTTTGTTCAGCTGGAAAGACGAAAAAAAAACACAATGAAGGCACCGAATACGACGTGGAACCAACGAACTACGGGTTACTTATTTTTCGTGTGCGTGTGTACTTTACGTAGAAATCGTATTTCTTCGATACTGTTTTTATCATTATTTATTAAAAAAAGGGTTCTGTTTTTCATCTGCCTCTTCTTCACTCCCAGTTCTACTTGTGAAGGACTAAAAGCTGCATGGCCATGGGGCTCGCCCATTTGTTTGTTTTATGTATATCGTGTGCTCGTGCACTACGAAAGAATGAAAAGAGAGCTGGCTTTTGTTTCTCGAGGAGAGAGAGAGAGGGAAGTCAACAACCTGAACTGGGGTATTTATAGATCCATTTCTACGTACACGTACGCGCGTTCAAGTCCGTATTCAACCTCGTATCCGACAGCTGGAGAAGCAGAGAAAAAAACTGGGGCTACGGGTCTCTTCCTTAATCTTGTCTCTCATTTTTTTTCCAACCAGATTCGACTTCGGGTTTTACTTGGCACAGTAGATTTTTGTGAAGCCGTAAAATGAGAAAGTGGCTGCCAATGCAATACATATTTTAAAACAAGATGAAAAAGAAAAGAGAGAAAAGGAAATGCATGAATTCTGCTCGTAAAACAGTCGGACTGCGACTAAAAAAAAAAGGGAGTGTCGTCACCGTCTACGTGGCAGCTTGCGGGATGCTCCTGTGGACTCATCTCTATAACGCGCGCTCCATGAGTGTTTCCTTTTCTTAACCTTTTTTTATATCAATTCGTACCGTCTTATGTGCTTTCTTTCATTTCTTTCTTCTTCTTTTTTTCTTTCTTCTCCATGACGTCTCATTGCACATGAAATGTGTTCGTTCCTCGTGGCGTGCGCATGTAATCTCTGCGTTTGCGATTCGAATCATCATCAACTACTACCATTTCATCGTTACCGACGTTCCCCTTTCCCTCTATTTCTTTCACGATGCACTTTGCGCTACAATTCTCCCCCCAAAAGAGTCATACAGTAATTCGGCGCTGTCCGCGCTTTCGATTGTACGCGT